CACTCTTTCGATTTCTTCCCAAATTTTAGCAAATTGTATGTTTTCCTTTCCTTCATTTCTAGTTATTTCCTGTATATGTGTTGTATTAGGGTTTGGATTTCAGATTTTTTGTTAGTTTTTCTCGAGAAAGCCGCCAACATCTCTCTTCTCCCTTCGAGGGTCGTATCCGAGGGTTTAAGCAGTGCTCCGGCCGTATCTCCATCAGAAATAGTGATTATTTTCCATATCCCCTTCCGCATCCTTCCCACGTCACTCCCGACCGCCCTCCACTATTGCAGCCGCTTCCTAACAGCAGTCCGTTGTTGTTTTCACTGCAGTTCTCCAATTCCAACCATCTGTCCTTGTTGCCGCTGCCCCGGACAGCCGTCCACTTGCTCTCCTACAGTCCCCGTATACCTCGTCGTTGCCCTGTCATTCCTTCTCGCTGCCACCACCCGGAACAGCGTCTCTTTTCTGTTCAAATGCAGTTCCAACCATCCAGCCACTCATTTCTCTCATTCCAGCTCACTGCCATTACCGCAACTCCTACACTTTGCAGTCACCGTCCTCCTCCGTTGCTGCCGCAGCCCATAACAGCCCCTCCCAAAAACTTCCACGCTGTGCAGCCCCCTCTTTCTTGCTGCCACCACCCAAGAGAACAACCGCACTTGTCTTTCCCGCAGCTTCACACCTCCCACCCAACACAAAAATGGAAGCTACTGCAGTAAGTTAGCTCATCCAAAAAGCTGCTTATGGCTGATAATTCAAAAAGGTCAAAATGTTTAGATAACAAAAGCTAAACTTCAGGAATATCTCTCACAAATATAGAAACAAAACTAAACTACCACAAAATAATCAATAACTCCATATCTATCACTCAATATTATAATTTAAAGTTTCAAAGCCTCAAAACAAATCACATATTTTTGCCATTTCTTGTTTTAACAAAATAGAAACACCATAATATGCTGGTTGTATATAAGTTTCAAAAAAAATTAGAAACAACCGTACTTAATTAATTCATCAAAAAATGCTTATGGATGGTAATGCAAGATAAAATATTTAAGATGTTTAAGAAAGACAAGCTAACCTTGAGTAATATCTCTCATGCTTAGCACAGACTCATCCATTAAAAATAGCAAAACTTCCCTCGCTTTTGAGTGAAGGCGTGAGTATGTTCCGCTCATAACATGCCATAATAAAGCCGTAGCCCCAAATTTCTTTACATCAGATGAAACTTTCACTACGTCCATAATTATCTTTCTGATCCCTGCAAATATACATAAAAAGCTGATCAGTCGCTTCCTCAAAAGATCAAAAAATTAGGAAGATTTGCATACATTCCACTGAGCTTCTATGCATTTACATATCTAACAACTAAACAACAATTTTTGCATACATATCAATTTACTTCACCGTTTAAAAGTTAAAATGGTGGCATTTTTTATGCGACATAATAGATTTGGGTGGTATAAATGTAAAAAAGCAAAGTATAGGTGTTAGATATGGAGATACATATGAATTTGGTGGTGGTATGTAACGCACCAAAAAAATAATACTGAAGCAGATTCACGTTGCAGAGGCATCCAAAAACAATTATGTATTATTTGTGAGAAATCAAAAGTGAGAAGTATTGTCATACCATTTTTAAGTTGATTTAATGGAGCATTCCTTAACGAAAATGAAACAGCCTCAGCCATAAACTCTTGGACATACTTCTTTGGATAGTACCGTAGTTGGACTGTAATTCTAGTAAAGAGAAATTAAATGATTAGCAACTATAAAAAAATAACTGCCAATATATATATGGAAGATTTACATACATATCACACAATTCTCATGTATTTACATATTTAACACCTAAACTTCAATTTTTACGTGCATGAAAAGGAGCATTTCACCTTTTAAAACTTAAAATGGTGATATTGTTTGATGTTATATGAAATATTTTGGTGGAGTAAATGTAAAATGTAAATTTTAGGTGTTAGATATGTAAATAAATAGGAATGGGGTGGTATGTATGTAAATGCCTCACTCGGTGTTTTGATGCCTGTATAGATTGCATACTCACTTTAAGAAGGTGACAACATCCTTTACAAGATACTTTTGCAAATACATAACAATATAGGACCAAGCAGTGAAGACCTGCAATGAGAAAACCAAGTAGAATTGAGCGTGAATTTTATATTATTAGGCTTTCATCATCCAGAACAGCTCAGTAAAAGACCTGCTCAAGTACTTCGGGATCACGATCACCTCCACTATAAAGAAGATTAGTTAAAGAACTAGCAAGCCTTTGCAAAAAACTGTCGAGAACAAGTAAAAAAAAGTAAATGATAGGTTAATCAAATAAGTAATGGCACTCGGCACTAGAATTTGTATGTTTTAAGGGTCATCATTTTAAATAGAAAATTTTCAAAAATAAAAAAGTTACATGAAAAGGATGTCAAGATTGGAAGCAAATTTTCAATGTCCCAGACAAAGAAACTTACGGCAAAAATTCCTCGAGGACATCCCTTGAAAAAGCAGCAATCAACCTGCAGAAAAAAAAAATCTGTGTAAAACATATTACTGCAAGAATTATAAAGATTGTAGCAGGATCAGCTCTGACGCTTTACCATCTAATTTATTGGATTGGATAGTAAAGAACAAACTAGGAAAGAGGACCCAATAAACGAAAGTCTCACTTTAAAAAATAAAAGATAAGGTACTGGTCTTGATATAAAGGTTGATGCAAAGGAGGAGGCTTGGCACATGAAATAAACTGAAGATATAACATCAAATGCAATAAACAACTCACAAAACTCAACCACAAGAAATAGTAGCCAGCCCAGCACTGCGGCTGCAAATGAACAGAAAGTTCAACAAGCTACTCATATCTATGCTCGATTAAAGCTCGTTCATGATTGTTTGATTAACAAATCAAAAGAGCTTCAATAATTCAATAAATACTAGATTGCTAAATAAACAAGTTTGAACAGCTTGTTGTATGATATGTTTATGTACATAAATGGTATTGTATAAAACTTATGAACAAGCTCAATAAAAGCTCAATTAAATCTCAATTACAGCTAGATTAAGGCTCATTTATGAATAGTATCATTTGATATTAATTTTTTAGACATAAGAAATAATGTTTGATATGACTCATTTATTTTTTCAAATAAACTACTCATATCAAACACAGATAATACTCAATTATAGCTTATTTATTTTGCTAAGCTGCTCGTTAATAAGTTCATTAATCTCTATATGAACTGACATAAAATCTACCTCAAGCCAAGCTCGAACAGAATGTTGATAAACTAATTTGAGCTCAAGCACATCTCTAAGAACTTGAATCAAGCTCAAACAAGCTTTTAATAAATGAGCTCAAGCTTGAACAAACATTAGCTCAGCTAGACTTGATTTGTTTGAACCCTAAACATTCCCCATCCGAATTGGAATTAACTCATACCTGAATAATAATTTGTTTTGATAACAAAAACCAAGTAAAAGTTTTCTCCAATGTTTAATTGATCTAGGTAGCTCTCCCAAAACTAGGGTTGGCCCACTAGATAACCAACTACATGAACAGACTAAGAAAAGCATCTGAGAAAGGACTAACTTAACCAAGATTATTTCCATTTATATGAAAACATGAAAAAGTGTGGTTGGTCGTAACATAACCCAAGTCAACGAGGGCGAACCAATTGGATAGACCTAACTTCAGTCGAAATGGCTAAACCAAATTGAATTGAACTGCCATGTAAAATTGCACAGAATGCAGGGAAGCACATCAATTTGCACACTTTTCCTCTCTCTCTCTCTCTCTCTCTCTATACCCACTTGCAGCTAATGCACCTTTGAAATATTTCTATTTTATTTTTAATATTGAAGTGGCCGTTAAACCCATCTTAAGAAATATTTTATAAATAACCTTTTATGAAAAAAGTAGAAGGTTAAAAATGAGAATAATCAGACAAATATTTATTTAAAGTAGTTCTAATTTCGAGAGTTTGAACTGTATTTAATTTTCCTGGAGTCTACCATAAACTTCTTTCAAAATCTCTATACTTTCTTTATTATATAAGGCTCCTAAATTATCATCTAAGAAAATTTCTTTGATTCTTTTACTTTATCTACAAAAATGAAAAGTAGCTTGGATTAAGATTTTTTACTTTAATATTATACGATTAATACTTTTTTTTCTGAATACATGATTGTGTACAAATGTAGAGATCTTCCATGGTCTAAATTGTAACATATATACATATGAAATTTGATGCTACCTACACTTTAGTTTTTAAGAAAATTAAAATCATTCAATATTCTACCACAAGCACAATTGAACTAATTATCAAGTGTCAGTGTAGTGTAGTGTCGTGCCTTGTTCGTGTCCCCGTGTTTGTATCCTTGCAACACAAATGACAAGAGTTCAAGGAAATCAAATAGTGATCACTCTACTATGCTTATACCTAAAGCATTTTTCACAAAAACTAAAAAGTTTATTGGAAGAAATTAAGCCCATTAAAAAATTTTGAAGCATGCATACATATAAGTTGAACTTTCCAAGAGATGATAGCATAACGGATGTACACGAGCCGAGCGAGCTCAAACTTGACTCGCGTTCTGCTATTTTGAAATTAATTTTGTTTGAGATTGGCTCATGTTAGGCTCGTTTGAAATTAATTTTGCTCAAAATTAACCGTGTATTCAAATTTTTGTTCGTGTTCGGCTCGAAATTGGTCGATTTGAATTAACTAGAAAAATAAATGTATGATGTTGAATTCAAACCTACACCATTCATATGCAATAAAACACAACCATGTGAACACACAAGTTATGATAACTTAAATTTAAATATAAATATATACAATATATTATTAAATAAATAATATATATAATTTTCTTATTTTAAGTTAAATTAGATCGAACACGAACAAACAAATAATTATTTGTGTTTAGTTCATTTATAATTCGAGCTTAAAAAGTTTGTTCGTTTTCGGCTCGCTTACTTAACAAACAATACAAACACGAGCTACTTAAAGAGTCGAACACAAGCTATTAGCAAACAACAAGCTTTTTTGACAGCCCGGGATAGCATTAGTTTAATAATTCAATATGCTTGGTTTTATTGTATAACATTAAGTTTTATAATTCTACAATTTTTTTGGTTCTCATAAATAGAAACAGCAACCTGTGATGGATCTTTTGTCAATGAGTTCCCCGAACCAACTAGCATCAATGTAGACTTCCACAGTTTTGTTCTTGGTTTTCTCAAAAAATTAATCTATACCCAGAAGTCTTCTTGAGAAACCTCAAAATTTTATACATCATCTTCAAGTACTCTTTATTTGGGTTATTCATGTGTTGGCTCATAATACTATCATAGTATGTAACATTTGGCCTTGTATGCGAAAGGTGATGATTTTCCTGCAAATCTTTGATATTATCCAAAGAGATGTTTCCTTCTCCCCTCTTTGATCCATTAGAGCATTAGCAAGCTTAAATTAAATCATTCATGTCCCCTTTAGTAGTTCTAGGATGTATTTCCTCTGTGATATAACAATGTCTTTCTTTCTTACCTTGCTACTTCTATACCTATAAAATATCTTATAATTTCTAAGTCCTTGATTTCAAACTACGTACCAAACACTTCTTTGATCTTGAGAATCTCTCTTAGAACATCTCAGTAAAAATCATATCATCAACATATACTATCAATGCAGCAATCTTGCCTCCTTAAGTGTATTTTACAAACAAACTATAATCAGCTTGACATTGAGAATATCTATTGGATTTCATAGTTTTAGCAAACCTTTCAAATCACATTCTTAGTGATTGCTTAAGTTCATAGAAAGACTTTTTAAGTTTGTGTACTAAGTGTTTGTTAGAATCATTCTCAAGCTCTAGTGGTATTTTCATATATATTTCTTTTTTTAGCTTCTCATCCAAAAAGATATTTTTTTTGTTAAGATGATGTAATTCTCATTCCTTATTAATTGCCAATGAAAGGAAAACTCTGATAGTGTTAAGTTTAGCAACTGGTGTGAAGATCTCCCGATAGTTGATCTCTTAGATTTTAGTGAAAATATTTGCAATAAGTCTACCTTTGAATCTCTCAGTACCCCATCAATTTTGTATTGACATTGAACACCAATTTGCACCAAAACAGCTTGTTATCCTGAGGGAAATTTAGTAAGAATTCATGTATCATTATGCTTTAGAGCTTGAATCTTCTCTTAAATTCTAAATTTTCAAGAGCCTCGTGAACGATATTCGGAATCTGCATTTTATCAAGGTTAAAAACAAAAACTTTGTAGTATGAGAATAATTTCCTATAAGCTACATACTCATGAACTGTATATTTAACGCAGTTTTCCTTATTACAAACATCAGAAGGGGGAAGAGGATAACTCATGAGTGCTAGACTCCTCACTCGAAATTTCAGGTAAATACAAACTCGGATTTTGATTTGAGATGTTTTGTCCTAATAAGTTGTCTTAACACCTTGCTCAAGGTTTTTTATTTCCTTATATAATATAAGCACTAATATCCTTGTTTCAGACTTCAAGTTGGGTTGGTTTGGCATCCTCGACCAGGAAAGGAAGGCTAGGTGGAGTAGGTGGTGAAGCCGTGTTCATGAACAGTTTGTGTTCGGCTCGAGGGGGAGTTTGTGTTTGATTCGTTCGATAAGAAAATGAGATGAACACGAATAATTTTTTTTCGTTCGGTTTATAAACGAACCAAACATAAACAGTCATTTGTTCAATCATGTTTGAATCGTTATTATTCGAAATATAACTTAATTTAAAATAATTATATGTAAATAAATTATCATATTTTAAAAAAATATATAAACTCTAAAAATTTATCATATTTTAAAAAATTAAATCATATAAATTATAATTTGATATTCATGTTCGTCTCTTAGCTTATATTAAATTCTATAATTTCATATTTATCTTCAGGTTCATCTCTTAGCTTAAATTTTCTTATATTTCTTTTAGATTTATTTAGTTTCTTTAAGTGAAACCTAATTTTTTGGATTGAAATCCGCATATTGCCTATAGATCTGATTTTTTTTATGGATGGTATGATATTATGGTTTTATTGTGAGCTTTGTTTCGGTTATTTTACATTTGTGTTGTGATTCATACAGGTTTAAGAATTAATTTCATATAGGTTTAAGCTTTTGAAAGATTTTGAATAATTCGAACAATTTAAACAATACAAACAAATTTGTAAGATTTCAAACAGTTCAAATAATTCAAATAATTCAAACAATTCGAACAATTCGAACAATTCGAACAACAATTCGAACAATTCGAACAATTCGAACATTTCAAATATTTCAAACATATTTCAAACAAATAAAACAGAACACAAACAGTAACTTCACGAACAATTTCAAACACGAGTCTATTTCAAACACACGTAAACTCAAACAAACCGAACACGAACATGAGTTTTGTTCGTTCGTGTTTGGTTCGTTTACACCACTAGCCGTGGGATCCTAAAATACATTACAAATTTGATGTTCATTTGCACTCTTCCCCTAAACATCTGATTTAGGGCAGTATGATTGATTTTCAAAAAATATAACAATCATAAAATGATAGTATTTTTGTTAATGGGAGAGTGGCATTTATGCCTCTTTTTGTGGTGGCATGCCCAAGAAAAATACATTTAATTAGGATCAAATTTTGTGTGACTTTGAGAATGATCTTAAAGAAAGGATATGCAACCAAGAATTTCAAGTGGGATAATGAAACAAAAAGCTCTGAAGTGAAAACATTAAGAGGTATTTTGAAGTCAAGTACCCAGCTAGGCATTCGATTGACAAAATATGAGTAAAACCCCCCCCCCCCCAAGAAAATGTATATGAACTTAATGAGATACCTCAAAGAGATTTTGGTTCTTTCTCTTAATTATCATATTTTTTTACGGTGTATCAAAACATGAACTCACATAAATAATTCCATTTTTTTAAAAAAGGATTTAATGATGGAGTTGAAATATTCCTTTGCATTATCAACTTTAAGAATGTGAATTTTGCATTAAAATTGAGTTAGAATCATACATGACAAGTTTAAAAGATTTTGATTGTTTCAAATTTCTTCTTCATCGAAAATACCCAAGTGATTCTCGTATAATCATAAATAAATGAGATATACCATCTGCCCTCACATAAGGTTTTCACTTAAATAATGACAAAAGAATGTACGGGTTTGTATTAATCAGAGAATAGTTATTTCTGGTGTGTTTGACAATTTGACAAATCTCACATTGATAGAAACTAGATTTTTTTATTAATAAACAAAAGATAATATGACTTAACGACATAATTGAAATTAGGATGAGCCAGGGGGACAAATGTCATAATAAAACCTAATTTTCGACACATAGACTAAACAAAAAAATAAAAGTTGGATCAGTTGTGTGTTTAGTGAAATTTTCTTGAACAGGCATAAGTCTTGATGCATTTCAAAATTGACAATCACGTTCCCCTATCCAAGGGTCTAAAATTAACAAAAATTAAAAAAAAAATTAGTAACACAATATAGGTCATGAGTAAGTTTGATAGTTGAAAGTAAGTTGCAATATAATTGGGAAACATATAGCACTGAAGAAAGATGAAAATCTTTGGAGACTTTCACATATCCTTTCTCAACAATCCTAAAGTGAGACCATTGGCAAGTCTAACAAATTTGGAGTTGATGATCTCTTGGTAATTGATAAGAGTGTGAATGTCTCAAGTCATGTGATACCAAGTACACGAATCTATTATTCAATGTCAAAATCTTCTATTGTTAACACGATAGTAGGATATGATATCTTAGTGTATCATCAAGTTGCTAAGCTTCAAAGTAGAACTAGACGTAGTCATTTTGTACTTTGTCGTGATCTCTATGCATCTTTAGGTTGATGTTTGTTGTAGGATGGGATTTAACTATTGTTTCTACAGGTAGAAGAAAGGTTGATGCACGAGAAGAGAAAAACATCAGGTGTTGAAGTTGTTGCTTCAAGACAAGTTGTGGCTTTTGTTGTTGCTTGTTTGTTGTTGTTTTTGTTGTTGTTGGTGTCGTTGTTGTTGTTGGAACTGCAGGGAGAGTGGCAGCAGAGGAATATTGGAAGGTTGGTTGAGGTGAGCCTGGGAAGAGCTCAAGTGCTGACAGCTGCATGGAGAAGCTCCGATGGAAGGCCTGTGGAAAAAGACCAATGGCTAACGGAGGCTCTGTGGAAAGACTGATGGCTATAGGGAAGATTCCAGCACTGGAAACCGTCATTGCTTGCTCACGAAAGATCCTTATCATGATCCTTTTGAAGTCCAGCAACAAGTCGGGCACAGAAACCGTCATTGCTTTCTTGGGAAAGATCAGATTGCTTGACCAGCTAAGATCCAAATGCTTTGTTGCGATCCTTTTCAAGATCCACAAATGCTTGCTTGGGGCATATCCAATGGGACTTCTAATCGAAGGGGGAACACCACGATCTGATAGCCATAAAGCAAGGGATGTCGACTAGTGTCACCAGATCAGGTTCGGGTCCAACCCAAATAGGTCTGACCCGAATATTATATGGGTTGAAAATACCAACCTAAGCCCGACCTGCCTTCAACCCTCCAACAAGAATTCGAACCATATAACTCATTTAGCATAAGAAAAATCATTATTTGGGTTTAAAATGGGTCAATTTATGATCAATTTTGAGTCATTCTCGGGCTAATTTAGGGTTGGCGAGCCGATTTCAAGTCAATTTAAGGTTGGTAGGTTTTGGGTCATTTTCAGGTTGGCAGGCCAACCTGAACCAGAACCGAAAAAATAAACCCGAGCCAACCCAAAAATTATTTGGGTCAACCTGAACCCGAATTTTTTGAGTGGGTTTCAGATTGAGTTGGTCTATCGGGTCAATTTTTTATACCCATACCTACATGGAACCAACGATGGATCCGCGACCACTTGGAACAACGACGAGTCCACGAATTTACTTGAACCAATGACAGATCCACGACTCTGTTTGCAGAGGTTTTGTCGGGAGATGAACAGGGACCAGGATGGCCTATAGAGGTGTCTAGGCTGGCTAAGGTGAGCCTGCAGCAAAGGACTCTGGCTGTAGGAAGGAGTATCGGGGGTCAGTGGAATACAAAGGAGGACTGCAATGAGAGCTTCGACCAGAGGAGGGCCTGCACCACAGAATTTGGACTGCAGTAAAGAGTTCTAATAGTAGAGAAGAACAAAGTACGGATTTTGGCTACAGGGAAGAGCCAAGAAAGAGGCCCGCACTGAGGAATTTTGACTACCTGCAAGGAATATTTAGGGTTGCTACAAGGAAGAGCCAAGGTGGGGAGATTTTTGAGACGGCATGACCAATGAGAGCTATATATATTTTAGTGACTTGCTCTGCCAAGTCAATGCCTCACACTTAATATGGCAACACCTTAAGCATTAAGTAGTAGTAACCCTTTGAAGGTGCCTAGTCAGATCGATTTAAGGATTTCTTTTGCTTTAGATAACACTCACAACACTTATGCCCTAACAAATTGCAAAAACATTGGCAGCTATATCTATAGAAAACACTTTCCATGCAAAGGAAAACTAATGGAAAAGTCAAAGTTTAAAATTAATAAAAATCCAATTAATTATATCTTGCCTTGTTCTGAATTTAAGTGATGTTTAAGAGGTTAATATGTATTCAACATATTCTATGTTTGGTATTTTCAGTTGTTTTGTGCACTTTTCATAGTATATTAGTTGAGTGGCATGTTGCAAGTTAATAGACATTAATGCCCTATGCAATGGAGCTAGATTAATGAGAAAGCTTATTATATTTTGGTTTTCACTCCTTATGGGTTGAGGCTAGAGATGGAGGCATGAGAGAGTTTTGGGGAAAAGAGGAGACAAAGATTCAATTTAGATAAAATTATCTTTGTATAATAGCATGGCCGAACAATTTATAGAGATAGGGGCAGATGAAGGGGATATATATATATATATATAATAACTTGAATTTAATATGACTTGAATTGGCAATTAAGCTTACCAGAGCTCCTATTTATAGACATGGAAGATGAGACCAACATATCAAGGGTTATAGCCCCGTTGTCCTCTAATGAAGGATACAAGGATAAACAATATCTTAAGGGCCCTAAATAATTATTTGGCCAACAATTTCTTTGAGAAATAAAAAAAAAATCAAAAACCAAATAAGGGCAACCAATGGAGAAGTAGCTGGCTACAATGTGGGTATTTTACCTAGAAAGATGTCACTTCTCTCTAATGTGCAACACTGGATGCCTATAACATTCTATTGGCAGTTTTTTTTAGAATTTTTTTAGGATTTATGAGCCGTTCCATAGGATCCATAATATGAATTGGATCCATTAAACATGATCTACCCTTACCTAGATGGGTTTGGCATGAACAAGCCTGCCCTGTATTGGGTTGGCATGATCCAAATCTCTTAATCACTCTGCATCAGTTTAGATGAGTGTAGAATAGACTCTTAGATCAAAAACCTAAGTTGCACCTAAGAACTAAACTGAAAAAATTATGTGAGCAGAACTTGCATTAGTATTGGTTCAAGGGAGAGCTTTGCTCTAACTTGCAATCTCCGTACAAGTTCCGAGAATATGAACTCTTTGTGCAGTATTATCTGAGGTAAAGTTTGGACTAGTGGCATCATCTCCTCATAAAACGAGATGAAGTCCTCAGCTGTACAGAGCTCCTGAAATTCAAAAGCATGAACCGGTTAATCACACCTAGCAACAGCTTGAATTTAGGAAGAAATGAGAAAGAGAATTTATAGAAACTTACTCTCCAGTGCAGCAAAGCCTCCCTAAAGAAGGAAGAACCGTCTTTAGGCTCGGACTTAACTTGTTCCAGACTGCGGAATACATCAATGTTGATTTCCTCCACTCGCTGAGAGAAACTCTTGAACTGCAGGGGACAACAGGAACCAATATAATGATATCAGAATTGGCCAACTAATGCATGGTTGGAAGCGAATGAAAGTAAAAAAGAATTCTTATTGTGCATACCACGAAACGCCGCCCGGTGGTGGTGGTATTGAGGCATTTCACCGCCTGGGACTGTGAGGTTGCCATGTCAACGGCAACACGAAGAGCTCAGAGAGCAGTCCCTCTCTGTCTCTCTCCCCCCGTATGTTTCTTAAGCCTTTAGGTAAAGGATTTAGAGCAGGATTTGACCTAATAAATCTTGCCAGACGGTCAGTTTGGACAAAATAAAGCCTCGGTTTTGATAAATCCGGATTTCACGGATTTCGGCCACCAATCCTAGATTTACTGAATCACGCACGGGTGTTTCGCGCGAAATGGAGAAAAAGGAGATGGAGTTTCGGGTCTCTGTACGTGGAGATCCCTTTGTTGCCTTCACAGTTAGATCTAACGCGACTTTATCGCGAGGGTTCGGAGACGATGGCGATGTTCTGAGCGAAGCCCGGAAGTGGAGGGACAAGCGAGGGTTTTGGAGGGGGGAAAGACGATGATGTAGGCTGAGGGTTTCTGTTAAGGGGAGTTAGGTTTTTGGTTATAATTTATTTTTTAATTAAGTTAAATTTATCAATTTAATTCATTGATAATTAATAATTAATTTGTGTTTTATTAACTTAATTATAACTAGATAAATTTATACACCATTATTTAATAAATAATTAATAAAATATTTTTTAAATTAAATATTTCGATGGCTGAAATATTACATAATTTTTAATAAATTTAATTAATAACTAATTAATTAATGTTAAATTATTGTTTAACAAGTAATTTATTTAATTAATTTTCTTATTAAATTTTAATTTGTTTAGTGACTAATTAATTTTTTATGTGTATGATTAGATGTAAAATTAAGTTGAATATAATTAAATTGATGATGAATTCTAATAAAATGATTAAAATTTAGTTAAATTTTTTTATTCATACCAAGATAACAATATTCTAAATCCTAAAAGAGATTGTCAAATAGTTTAATAGGATTTAACTGGATTTATTATTCTCGAATAATTTTTTGGGATTTTTTAAGGATTACTAGATTCACATTTACGTGACGTACTAAATTTACTGTCTTAAATCGAATTTGTTGTCATACAACCTCTTGGGATTTTTCACCCAAATAAAAATTGGTGTGCTTCATGGTTTGGATGGTCGAGCTTGTTTTGATAGGATGCGATAAGGTTTAGCTAAATATTTGTATGTCTTTTTATATTGTAAAACATTTATCATCAAAATTATATGTAAACTTACTTGCATCATAATTAGTTTTTATGGAAATGAAGAAAACAAAAAATTTGAGTTGTATACAGTTGAACCGTGCAGCTCGATTGCCAAAATACTCTCCAACTTAAAAATATTGCAGTTAGGGCCCGTTTGGGGTAGCTTATAAGTGCGGGGGGCTTTTTTAAAACGCAACAGTACCGTTTGGAGCGTGTGTTTTGTCTGTTTATCCGAAAACGCGGTTTCATTTTATACTAAACGCGGACTGCGGGTCGACTTCCGCGATCGACTTGCAGACTGCGTTTCAGGATAAACTGCTTATCATGAAACACACAAACTGCCTCAAATATACCCGTAAATTTATATTTTAAATAATTATTTGATGAAAACAATTACTACATTCATGGTTCTTATATTATAAAAATATTAAAAAGTGCATCCAAATATTTTAATATTTTACATCAAATCTTTAAAACAAAAGAAAATAAAACTACATAAATCAAAATAAACAATATTAAATAAACCTTTTTATAATTATAGAATTGACATATTAAATTTTTTAAGTATCTATGCCAAAATCATTTTAGATTGGTTAGTTTTTCACGCTACGCCTGTTCAAAACATCGTCTCCTTCTATGGTACCATGTTAAGTAAGCTGAAACAACTTGCGTGTAAGATGTTCGATTAAATGCGTGAGATAGACTGCGTTTGCTGGAACGCATTGATCGACGCTTATGCACAGCACAACCGGCCCAACGATGCAATAATGCTATTCCGGCAAATGTTGAGGTCCGTGGGCGGCGCAGCTGGGCTCTTTGCAGGTGGACAAGTGGGTGCAGTTCTGCGCGAAGAACAACAGGATTCCATTCACTCTTCGGCTTTCCACAGCTTTGGTTGACATGTACTGTAAATGCGGAAGCATTCAAGATACCGTTTTGGTTTTTAACAGCTTTCCAAAAAGGGATTTTGTTGTCTGGAACTCCATGATTGCAGGCTAGGCAATGGAAGGACAGAGCAGGGAAGCTCCATTTCTCTTCGCAGAGATGGAAAAAAATGGAGTTTTGCCCACCGATATCACTTTCATTGCCATCCTAAACGCAAATAATGATACCTGTTCTGGCACGTGGTTTTTAAAAAAACTTTCTCTGAATGATGAAGGTCCTTCAATGAAGCCATAATCATCATAGATTTGAAAGTAGGAAGATCATGGGAATGCCCTTACTTGCAATTGTGGCTTAGAGACTCTGTGTGATAGTGTGATCTAATTCACGAGATGTGGGAATGTTTGTGGTTTGCACTTTTATGCTGTCTATAATGTGGAGACACTTGTGAATCACAATCAAGAATAGATGTGGAATTGGGTAGGAGAGTTGTGAGGATGTTAAGGTTAACCCATTAACATTTTAATATATAAAAATAAAAAATTTAAGTTTCTATTTGGGCAAGATTTTTCATTAGGGGAGGTTTAGGGCTGCAAATGAACTGAGCGTTTGAGACGCTACTCATGGCTTAGCTCGACTCGACTGGATAACACTGTTATTGTTGGGCCTTAAGTCCTGGATTCGAAAAGTAGAAGGTTACATTAGGTAGTCGATAACAAACATAAAATTTATCAAAAAAAAGCATGTCATAAATCCTTTAAATTTTTGTGTAAATGCTTAGGCGTCTCCTGGAAGTCATGTGTTGTATGACGTAAATGCAGTGAAAAGTGTGCAATGAACATAACACCGACACCCAAGTGTAGTGTCAAATAAGCAAGTGTTCTCACATTAATGATGAATGCGGTTAAAAAAGTTAGTCGATGAAACTAATATTATGGTAGAATCTTAGAATCTAGATACTTTCTTAGGTATATTAATGGAATAAGTTGATATTATAGTTCATAGGAAGAAAAATATTTTATGTATTCAAAAAACTAAATGAGTTGGAGAAAATACTACGGATATGTGTAATTATTAGAGGATATTTAAATGAACATATTGGTAGAATGGTAGAATATTTTAGAAATATTCATGGTGCATACAATTTTGTAGTGATTAATGATGAAGGTAGAACTATATTAAATTTTGTTTTAATATATGATATTGTTATTGCTAATACGAAGAAAATATATGAACATATTATTACTTATAAGAATGGATCAAATAAAACACAAATTGATTATTTTCTTATGAAAAAAGGTGTTCGTCGAGAGTCTAAAGATTGTAAGGTCATTCCAAGTGAAAATGCAAATACTCAACATCGATTATTAGTTATGAATTTTAAGATGAAGAGTTGTGGGATAAATAATACAATGAAACATTATCATAGAACTAGATGGAGTCACATAAAAGATTCAAATAAAAATTATTTTTATAAGTAAATCTAAAGATTTAAAGATTTGGGATGTTCATGAAGAATTAAATTTTTATGTGGGATAAGTAACAAACACTATTAAACAAGTGACAAAAGATGTACCCGAAGAATTAAAATAAAAAGTTTTTTATAAATAAAAATAGTTGGTGGTGGAATAATAATGTGTAAGAAAAGATAAAATATAAAAAGTTATGTTATAAAATTGGTTTAGATGTAGAAAACGTAGAGAACTGGGAAAAATATAAGATAGCTCATAGGAAGTCTAGAAGAAAAAATTGTGATGCTAAAAGTTCAACTTTTAGTGAATTTTATAATAGATTTGATACTAAAGATGGTGAAAAATATATGTATAAATTAGACAAACAAAGAGAAAAGAAAAGTAAATATTTAATTAAGTGTATTAAAAATGAAAATAAAAAAGTGCTTTTCTTAAAGAAAAATATTCAACATAAGTTAGTGAGTTAATTTGAAAAATGTGTCAATGAAGTTTCGAAAAATACGATCGTTCTTAATGATCTTAAAGTCGTTAATAATAATAAAATGTTTTATTGTTAACATCGCATTAGTAAAAAAGAAGTTGAGAATGCTTTAATGAAAATCAATGGTGGAAAATCAATAAGAACTAATGATATTTCAATTAAGGTGTGGAAATATTTAGGAGATTTGGGAGTTTATTAACTTACTAAACTCTTTCTTTAATATTATTTTAAGTATTATTTTAAGAACTAAAAAGATGCTTAAGAAGTGGAGGAAGAGTATTTTGGTCTCCATTTATAAGAGTGAAGGGGATGCATAAGAGTTTGCAAATTTAAGAGGAATTAAGTTGATTTTTCATACTTTGCAATTATGGGAGAGAGTAGTTGAATATAGGTTAAGGCGTGATATAAAGATTTATCATAATCAGTCTGTATTTATGCCAACAATGTTTACTATGGAAGCTATACATTTATTGAGAGGTTTCATGGAGAAGTATGGAGAAAGTAAAGAGGATATACATATTATTTTTATTAATTTAGAAAAAAACTTACGATAAAGTTCCAAGAGAAGTCTTTTGGAGAGTTATAGAGAAGAAAGGAGTTGATACAAATTATACCCAAAGTCATGAGAGATATGCATACTAGAGGTGTTAAAGAATTTTGGAGAGTTCTAGAGAAGAAAGGTGTTGATATGACTTATACTCATGTCATGAAAGATATGTATATTAAAGGTGTTACTTGTGTTTGAAGAGAAGGGACCAAGTATTCTTCTATTTCAGTTGGATTACATCAGAGATCAGCTTTAAGCTCGTATCTGCTTTAGTTATGGATGCTCTTACTTGATAATTACAGGACGATGTACCTTAGTGTATGCTTTTCGCTGGTGATATCCTTCTCGTGGATAAAATTAGATAAAGTGTTCAGGAAAAACTTAAATTATGGAAGTCTACATTGGTGTCTAAAGGCCTTTGTTTGAGTAAATCTAAAGTTGAATACACTAAGTGTAATTTTAGAAGTAATAGCTTGAGTGGCGGCATTATAATTATGAATGATCAAATTATTAAAAGGTGTGGACATTGTAGAGATCTCGGGTCTATTGTTTAAAGTGATGGTGATATAGATGGGGATGTTATTAGTAAAATTCGTGTTGGTTGGTTCTATTTTGTGATAGAAAAGTACTACTTAGATTGAAAGAAAAATTTTATAAGATGGTGGTGAGACCTGTAATGCTCTATTGAGCAGAATGCTAGCCTTTAAAAGGGAAACATAAAAAAAGTTAAGTGTTATTGAGATGCAAATGCTTAGGCGGATGAGTGACTTGACACTTAAAGAAAAAATGAGAAATAAATTTATCTGTGATAAGGTTGGTGTAAGTCCAGTGGTTTACAGTTTTAGAAAGAGTCATCTTAGATGATTTTGTCACATTAAACGCCGACCATCTGATGATTTGATTAGG